TTTAAAATAGGTATCTGTAAAAAAAATGGCACATGGCCATCATTTTAGAGCACATTGTAAGGAATGACCTTATGAGATACAGTATACAATAGTAAATATCTGGTGAGAAAAGAATTGGAACAAGTTTATCATTTGGAACACACTGAGCTTATGGCATATAGTTTATGATAGGTATCTCTAAAAGAAATTGGCACAAGGCCATCATTTTGGAGCACATTGTAAGGACTGACCTGATAGATTTGATGACAGAAGAGATGTTATAGAGAATCAAGTATAGCTCAAGGCCTTCATTTTGGAGATCATTGTAAGAATTGGCCTTATTAGATGCAATTTATTTGAGGGAGCTGAGTTTGGAACAAGGTCATAATTTTGGAGCATCTGATGATCATTTAACTCATTATCTATGGCTTGTAAGTTTAAACAATACCAACACTCAACAGTTGCAAAATTAGAAAAGGAAGAGTGTGTACTGCCAATCTTCCAATTGGGGAGGGCCAGTCAGTCTTCAATATCCCGGCTTTGAACACCATATCTTATTCAGGTCATATATCTATATACTCTGCCAGATTTTTTTTATTACAAATCAAAGATTTCATAATAAAAAAATTCTAATAAATTTTCAGGATATCCTTATATTTATATTATAAATATACGATATGAATTTCACATTGTAATTTTTTAAAATGATATGTCTCTTTAGAATGTAAGCATTCATGGCTTGCCACAGAATCTGTTTTTTGTTATCTGTGAATTACCATGATTTCTTGGGAAAGATGGTGGAGTTGTTTCTTGTTGCCTTCTCCATGGATACCATTTCTTTATTTTCTGGGAATTGCAGTGAGTTCTTGGGAAAGATAGTGGAGTGGTTTCCCATTGCTATCTCCATAGATTCCTTTTCTTTATTATCTGTGAATTAACAAGTGAGTAATGATTATCTAAATATTTTCCTATTCACCCAAAATTAATTTATTTCTCAACACTCGATCCTACTTCAGAAAATAAAGAAATATAGGCAAACATGAATAAACGTGCTCACAGTAAGACGGAGTGCGGAAAGGTTGGTTTTCCGATGACACCTCTTTTTTAAGTATCTTCTCTCTTTGGCAATGTCTATTGTTTTAAAAAGTGATAATTAGAATTCAGTTCAGATATGTGCCATGCATGATACACACTTAGACGATCATGTATATTTCGATACATTACTGACAAGGCAGATTTTTTTCCCCACAGTAGGTTGCCATTTCTTTCTGCAGTAGGCCAGTTGCCATCCAAGGCTATAGAACCTGGTCTGTCCTGCTATTTACCCATTAGTGGCAGGAGAAGAAGAGGATTAATATCTTTCCCAAGGGTATTAGCATGTAAGTGAATGTAATGGATTTGACTGGAATTCGAACTCAATTCTCTGATTTCTCAATCTGAGCCACTATCCATTACTCCACCGTGCCTCCTATTAGAATTATTAAACATAAACACATGATGAGAGTGAATTTATACATTTTGTTTGTTCTTGAGTAAGTATTTACAATAAAAATAATGATATTTATTTATTACACTATTTAGAAAGGTTATTTGCACTATTTATTGTTGTCCTACATTTTTATTTGCACTATTATTGTTGTTTAATGGGTTGGTTGATTTTGTGATGTCAATGAATACTTGTTGCCACTTTTGTAATGTCAATGAATACTTATCACTTTCGTAATGTTGTAGTAGAGACTTTGTAATCGCAGATACAACTACAGTAATGCTGTTGAACAATACTTGGTGTCAGATGCCTTTGAATAACACTTGCACTAATAGTACTTGCTCAATAATACTGGCTCGAAAAGTAATCACCGTATAGTGATCAGTATAGATAAATAGTACAGTGAATAGTATAGAGAATAGCGATCCGTATAGTAATAGAGGATAGACTAGAAAGAGTGATCGTTTTGATGTCACACTAATTCCCATACATGTATTTTCTTTTACTATCACATGATTTACTTATTCAAAATGAGATCACCTGTGTTTGCTCTCTGGTGATCTGTGTTCAAACTCCAGTGTCAGTAGTGACACTTTTATTCCTATATAAGAGTTGACAAACATCAGCTAATTGCTCAACAATTCAAACTTTATAAAATAGTAAATAATAAGGATTTCTTTATAGTTAGTTCACATATTTTAATAGTTTAGTAAATATATAAATAAAAAATTGTTTTCACATTTATTTTTTTACTAGCAGCATGGCCTGGTTGCCCGTGCTTGATTAAAAAATCTAACGACTCATACAGCAATCGCTATCACTTGACCTAAAATATTTTTGCCCTTCCTTGCCTTGAAAGGAGTGCCCTTTGCCATGCTGATGTTACTACATGCCTTACTTTTGCCTATCTCACACTGGGCGAATTTTTCTAAGCTATATACTAAACATTAAATCTGTTACTTAAAAAAGAACTAAACAAAATGAACACTAAACGATCAGCTTTAAAAAAGACTCGTAACTGGAAAACCGAATGAAAAGAGAATGTTAACAACAAATACTTTTTCACACCCAACCCAGTTCTGTGGAATCAGAATCAACGTTGAGTTTAAGCAGTTTAATGAGCCAATTGGAGTAAAGTGCCATGCAGATTTAAATTTTTCCCACTTGTGACAAATGCAGCTATCGATTTTTTTGCATGCTAGCATGCTAGTTAACATTCGTGTCAGTCAGCTGTTGGCTCTCATGCTGGCCAATAGAATCTTCCTGCCTATTCGTGGCAGCCAGCTATAGGCTCTCATTCTGGCCAGTAGAAAATGGCCGCAAACTACATGAAAACTGCCGTAGAAGCATGAAAAAATCGATTATTTCCACTATCAATGGGAGTTGAGAAATGCAAAGTTGGTCTTGGCCTTCCCACTAACTTGGAGCATGTGCATGTAAATTTTGGTGCAAATCCGTCGAAAATTGCGGCCGTGCATTCGTTAAACACACACACACACATCCTGCCTTTTATAGATAGAGATAAATTGCCATGACTTCTTGGGAAAGACAATGGAGTGGTTTCCCGTTGCCTTCTCTACAGATTCCTTTTCTTTATTATCTGTGAATTGCCATGACTTCTTGGGAAAGACTGTGGAGTGGTTTCCCGTTGCATTGAATTACTTTTAAAATAATTGTATTAGTTTTTAGAATGTTGTAAATATAAAATTATTCTTGTAAATAAACAATCTAATAAATAACGGTTTAGCAATACATGTCTTACCAAATATCCCATAGCTGGAGGGAGAAGAGACCTTTCCCCAGGGTATTTGCATGTAAGTGAATATGACGAAAGCAAAAGGAATTGAAACTCGGCTCACTGATTAACAATTCTGCTCCCTTATCCATTACAACACTCCCACATTTGAGCTTACGGCATCTGGTATTCAAAAATGGTCACCTATCTAGGTATTGTCAAGGCTTGATGTTTCTTAATTTCAGTTCTCGTGGGGGACGGGGTTTTTCAATGTGATGTGCTACCCCTCCCCCACCCACTGGTAGCCTAAAAGACGTTGTATATTACATCCCTGTCCCAATAATGCTGATGATGTGGTGGTGCCCTCTTGCAGTTTCCACTTCCTACTTGTTCTCTTGGCCTCTTTGTGAGGAGCTGAGATAGTCTCATATGTCAACAGCCATATAACTTTTGGCACATCAGATATTTGAGAGGGAAAGAGAGAGAGTGTGTGTGTGTGAATGTTTGTGTTCAGTTACTGCCTATTCGTTGGTTGACATCGCCCATTATCATCTAATATTTCATCTCTCATTGATATTAGCTGCTTGTGAATATTTGCTGCAATCTACATATGAAATATGGATGGAGGATGTGGCAGAGGAGAAGAGAGCTTCAAAGTACCAGTACTTTTGTTCAGCTCTCATAAATTGCAAGCAGCTAACAATGAATGATATTGGATGCAACAAACTAACAGAATTACTTGGTGCATCCATACTTATTGTATAAATGAAAAATCATTCCCCATAGTAGTATATGTATCTGCTTGTCTGTCTGACTCTCTTCATGTCTGTCTGTCTATCTATCTATCTATCTATCTATCTTAGTCTGCTCCTATCTATTTTAGTGTTTCTATGTCTATCTGTTCCTATTTCTATCTATCTATCTAGCTAGCTATCTTTTGTCTGTTTTCATTATCTATCTATCTATCCATTCATCTATCATCTATCTATCTATTTTAGCATGTGTTTTTTATCTATTTGTTCTATCTATCAGCTATATTTTTGTTCATCTGTTCATCTCTCTTTGTTCATGTACATTCATCTATTTATCATAATTTTATTCTATCTATCTATCTATCTATCTATCTATCTATCTATCTATCTTAGTCTGCTCCTATCTATTTTAGTGTTTCTATGTCTATCTATTATCTATCTATCTATCTATCTATCTATCTAGCTAGCTATCTTTATCTATCTTCATCATTCATTCATCTATCTATCTATCTATCTATCTATTCATCTATTTTATTGTGTTTTTTTCATTCATTCTACCTCTCTATCATCTATATTTTTATTCATTCATCTATCTCATGTCATACATCTATCTTTATTTATTCTATTCATTATCTATCCATCTATATCTATCTATCTATCTATCTATCTTTCTATCTGTATCTCATCTATCATGTTTCATATGTCTATCTGTTCTATTCTATATATCATCTATCTATCTATCTATCTATCTATCTTTGTCTATCTTCATTCATTCATCTATCTATCTATCTATCTATCTATCTATCTATTATTCATGTATTTATATATATTTATTATCTATCTATCTATCTATCTTTTTTATCTATCTAATCTATCTATCTATTATCATATTCATTATTATATCTTATCATCTATTCATCTATCTATCTATCATATCCATCTATCATTATCTATCATATATCATTTTCTATCTATCCCTCTATCTATTCTGTTATATATCTATCTATCTATTCATTCATCTATCTATCTTATCTAGCATTCTTTCTTCATGTTCTATCTATTCATCATATCTATCTATTCATCTTCTATCTATCTATTATCTATTTCATCTGTTTATCTATTATATGTATCATCTCATCTATCATCTATATTTCATATCTATCATTTATCTATATATCTTATCTGTCATATTTATCTATCTATTTATTCTATTTATCTATCTATCTATCTATCTATCTATTATCTATCTATCTATCTATCTTTCATTCATTATTATTCATATATATATCTATCTAAATTCATATATCTATTCTATCTATCTATATCTATCTATCTATCTATCTATCTATATATATCTATCTATCTATTCATTATCTATTCATTCATTCATCATCTATCTATTATTATCTATTTTTTTTTTTTATTCTATCTATCTCTATCTATCTATATTTTTGTTCATCTATCTATCTATCTATTCTAAATCATATTTTAATATTATTTAATTCTATCTATCTATCTATTCATCTATCTATCTATCTATCTATCTATCTATCTATCTATTATCTATCATTCATCTATCTATCTATTATCTATTTATGTTTCTATGTCTATATATCATCTATTCTATCTATCTATTAGCTATCTATCTATTATCTATCTATCATTCATCTGCATCCATCTATCTATTCATCTATCTATCTATATTTATCTATCTATCTATCTATTATTTTATTCAAATTTTTTTAAATAAATTCCCTCTATAATTCATATATTTTTATCATATATCTATCTCTTAAATATATATCTATTTATTCATATATTTATTTATTTATCTATCTATCTATCTATCTATCTATCTATCTATCTATCATCTATAATATCTATTTTAGTCTAAATCCTTCTATCTGTTCTATCTATCTATCTATCTATCTATTCATCTCATTTTCATCTATCTATCTATTTTATATTATTCTATCTATCTATCTATCTATCTATCTATCTATCTATCTATCTATTATCATCTATTTTTTTTTCATATTTGTTCCTATCTAGCCATCTATATTTTTCATTCATCTGTCTATCATTATCTATACATATTTATTTAATTTATTCTATCTATCTATCTATCTATCTATTCATCATATATCTATCTATCTATCTATCTATCTATCTTATCTATTCATATCTATTTTAATATTTCATATTCATCTATTCATTCATCTATCATTATCTATCTATCATTATCTAAAACATCTATCTATCTTTCTTTCATATATTTATTCATTATTATTCATCTATCTATCTATCTATCTATCTATCTATATTCATCTATCTATCTATCTATCTATTTATCTATCTATTTATTATCTATTTGTTCATATATCTATCTATTATATATTTTTTTCATTATCTATCTATTCATCTATTCTATTCATATTTATCTAAATTTATATTCTATCTATCTATCTATCTATCTATCCATTCATCTATCTATCTATATTAGAAACATCAATATCTATTTTAGTGTTTTCTATCTATCATATTTATCTATTCATATATTTATCTATCTATCTATCATCTATTTTATCTAATTATCATTCATTCATTCATCTATTCATCTATCTATCATATCTATCTATCTATCTATCTATTTATGTATCTGTATTTTTCTATTTCACATTCATCTATCTATCTATCATATTATTTGTTCATCTATATCATAAATTCATTCATCTATGTCTCATTCATCATCATTATCTATTCATTTTTAGATATATCTATCTATCTATCTATCTATCTATCTATCTTATCTAAAAATTTATTCATCTAAAAATTAGAATCTTTCTTCATAAATCTAGGAATATATCTATCTATCTATTATCTAGTTAGTTAGCTAAACATTAGGAATCTATTTTTATTCATTAAAAAAAATAATCTATCTAAATATCTAAGATTATCTATTTTAAATGTTATTTTTATTTATTTCTATCTACCTATAGCCAGCTATATTTTTGATTCATCTAAATCTATTCAAAAAAGAAATGTACATATTTAACTTTTAATTTTATTCTATCTATCTATCTATCTAAATCTATCTATTTATCTATCTTAGTCATCTATCTATTTTAACAAAAAAATGTCTAAATGTTCATAATATATCTATCTATCTATTTAGATTTCTATCTATCTTTTGGAGAAAACCATATTATCTATCTATCTATCTATCTATCTATCTATCTATCTATTTTAATGAAAAATTTTTCTTCCATGTTCCTACATCCAACAAAATATATATTTTAGTATCTATCTATATATATATCTTTGAATTCTACATATATTTATCTATTCATTTATCTATCTATCTATCTATCTATCTATATATCTATCTATCTATCTATCTATCTATCTATCTATCTTAGTGATTTCCCAATCTATATTTATATATATCTATATATATTATATATATAGAAATCTATCTATCTATCTATCTATGATCTATCTATCTATCATTCATTCTATCCATCATTATCTATTCATTCATCTATCTATCATTTAGTGTTTTTCTCTATTTATTTCCTATGAATCTAAACATCCATTTTTTTGTTCATATTATCTATTTGATCACATATTTATTTCATTCATTATCTAAATTTAATCTATCTATCTATCTATCTATATTATTCTATCTATCTATCTATCTATCTATCTTAGTATTCATCTATTCATTCATGTTTCATATATCATTCATTCCTATTTCTATTCATCTATCTAGCTATCTACCAATATCTATATTTTATCTATCTATCTATCTATCTATTTTATCTATCTATCTATTCATTCATCTATTTTATGTTATATTTATATTTGATAACCATAAATAGCTATATTTTTGTTCATCTTATCAATCTATGAATATATTTACATATTTATCTTAATTTATTCTATCTATCTATCTAAATCTATCTATTCATCTATCTATCATCTATAGCATCTATATCTATCTATTTTAGTGTTTCTATGTCTATCTATGTTATATTCTATCTATTCATCTATCTATCTATCTATCTAAATTTGTCTATATATCATTCATAAGGAATCTATATATATCTATCTATCTATCATATATGATCTATCTATCTATCTATTTATATATATGTTTTTTCTATTTATTCCTATCTCTATCAGCTATATTTTGTATTCATCTGTCTATCTCTCTTTGTCATGTATCATATTTATCTATTAATTTTATTCTATCTATCTATCTATCTATCTATCTATCTATCTATCTATCTATCTATCTATCTATCTTATCATCTATCTATCTATTTAAGTGTTTAATATGTCATATATTTAAATTTTATCTATCTATCTAATTATAGCTATCTATCTTTATATCTATATCTATCTAATATCTATCTATCTATCTATATCTATTTTAGTGTTTTTTGATATTTTTATGAAACTAGCCACATATATTTTCTTTTCATCTGTCTATCTCATCTTCTATTGTATATATCTAAATTAATTTTATATCTATCTATTCATCTATCTATATCTATCTATCATCTATCTATCTATCTTAAGTCTATTCATCTATTTTAGTGTTTCTTATCTATCTGTTGGATTTCATCTATCTATCTATCATTATCTATTTCATCTATCTAGCTAGCTAATCTATTATCTTTCATTTATCTATTCATCTATTCATTCATCTATCTATCTATCTATCTATCTATCTATCTATTTTAGTGTGTTTTTTTCTATTTGTTCCTACCTCTAGCCAGCTATATTTTTGTTCATCTGTCTATCTCTCTTTGTCTGTACATATTTATCTTAATTTTATTCTATCTATCTATCTATCTATCTATCTATCTATCTATCTATCTATCTATCTATCTTAGTCTGCTCCTATCTATTTTAGTGTTTCTATGTCTATCTGAAAATATTTCTATCTATATTTAGCTAGCTATCTTTGTTCTATCTATTCATCTATTATCTATCTATCTATCTATTTTTAGTGTTTTTTCTATTTGTTCCTACCTCTAGCCAGCTATATTTTTTTGTTCATCTGTCTATCTCTCTTTGTCTGTACATATTTATCTTAATTTTATTCTATCTATCTCTCTATCTATCTATCTATCTATCTATCTATCTTAGTCTGCTCATATCTATTTTAGTGTTTCTATGTCAATCTGTTCCTATCTCTCTCTCTCACTATCTATCTTAGTCTGTTCCTATCTATCTATCTATCTATTTTAGTGTCTCTTTTTCTATTTGTCCCTATCTCTCTAGCTATATTTTTATTCATCTCTCTTTGTCTGTACATATTTATCTCAATTTTATTCTATCTATCTATCTATCTATCTATCTATCTATCTATCTATCTATCTATCTATCTATCTATCTATCTATCTATTAGTTTGAAAAAAAGAAACAATGAAAATTAAGAAAACTTGTTAAAAATTAACACTAAAATAATTCTTTAATTGACATCTGTTAGCATTTTAAGAAGCTTAAGCTAAACAGCCATCACGTGACACTAAAATATTGCATTTACATCCAGACAATGTTTCAATTGCTTGTCAGTCAGAATTTTGACCATTTCATCAAATCTTCTCAGAGTGTAAGTTTGTATAAGAAGAGCTTTTATTATAAGAATTCATTGGAAAAAATTTAGGGTTTTAAATGGGTTTTAATATAGGAATGTTTTGAAAGAGATTTTATTATAGGAATGAATGAGAAAGGTGTTTTACTACTGAAAAGTAAGGGAAAGGTTTTTACTATAAGAATGCATTTAAAAGGGATCTTACTATAATAATGCATTGGAAATAGTTTTTACTATAGAATTGTACTGGAAATTATATTTTACTGTAGGAATGCATTGGAAAGGCATTTTATTATAGGAATGAATTTTTATAGGAAGTGGTTTTACTATTGGAAAGCAAGGAAAAGTGTTTTTTTATTATAAGAATGCATATAGAATTTTACTATAGGAATACATTAGAAAGTGATTTTACTTTAGGAATACATTGAAAAGGTATAGATAGATAGATAGATAGATAGATAGATAGATAGATAGATAGATAGATAGATAGATAATGAACAGATTGAGATAGGTATGAATATTCTGAGATAGACATGAACACACTGAGATAGGTATGAAAAGACTCAATTACAAGATAGATACATACATAGATAGAGAGATACATACATACATAGATAGGTGACAATTATTGTTAATGATATAAAATAATATTGAATTAAAATACAATGCTTCTGAAGTGTGGAATTGGTTAACAATCAGGAACAAATTGAAATCTTTTAGACAATTTAAGTAAGCGAAATTCCTCAAATTCTTTGTGCAGCAAAAGTAATGAAGAAGCCCTTAAATCTTTCTTAAGTGAAAAATGTATTTGATGAGTTTGTAATTATTCAAATTGAACAACCATTATCAATAATTGTTTTCTGATGAATAGAGACATGTTCATAAACAGGTGTATACATGAGGCGTACGATCCTGAAACAATGTGTTCAATTACATATGTATAAATGTATATATATGTCTATTTTTGTACTCTTATTTTTATGTGTGTATATGTGTTCATTAGTGAAGGTATGATAGTATAGTGTAGACTAAACAATTAGCAGCAGAAAATCTGAAACTAGTTCAAATTCTAACTTTGGTAGTTTGTTTCAATTTTTCACTGGTTCCTTTTCAAAAGGCATGAACCTACTTCCCTTACTAATCCAAATAAAAGATTACTCAATTTATTTTTAAATCAATTCATCCCAAGGAAGGAGATAATGCCATTAAAATGCCAGGGGCTACTGGGAGTGAGAAGACTTTAGACGGAATTGGAAAACCCAGTTCTAAACAGGAAACAAAGGATAAAGCTCTACTCTTACCCCCAAAACCAAGAGGGAGTGGGAACCAGATGATAGGCAAACCATTATGTTTCTGGTACCATGTTACTAAGTAAGGTTACTCAAAAATATATCAAACAAATTCCATTGTGCCAAGAAATGTCCAGTAGAACACAGTACCTAACAATCAAATGTTAATGGTAATATTCACTGTTTCCTGATAAGGAAACATTTAGCATTCACTGACTACCAGTTGAAACTTATAAAATCTTTCTAGTAAAACAATTTTAACAGACATGTTAGAGTAATGGATTGTGGCTTGAATTGAGGAATCGGAGAGGCAAGTTAGAATTCCAGATGGGTTCATTGCATTCACTTACATGTTAATACTCTTGGAAAAGGTATGAATACATCTCTTTCCCCCCAGCTATGGGAAAATAGTAAGATAGACTGGGTTCTATAGCCTTGGGTGACAACCAATCTAGGAGAAGGAAAACTCTAAATTCAAAACTGTCTGTAGTCCTAGCACTGACTCAATGATCCTGACTACAAAAACAATTTTTCAGGAAAATAGTTTTCTTAAGTCCAGTAACTGTTATTGCTCTTTCCAGTAATGATGGCAGCTTCTTTCCTAACCTTTAGTTTGATGTTGTGTGGAACATCAACATCTTGATTATGTCATTATTTTTTCTTCAACTTACCTGTGGTACCCATTTTAGTTGTTGCAATTGTTGGAAGTCTTCAAGTAATGTAGTTTTGGTCATATGATACAGTTCTGCAGAAGCAATCCATGAGATTCAAAGAAGAATGGTCATCTAAGACCTACAGGGTTAATTCATTTGAAGCCATTTTTAATCATTGATTTGAAAAAAACAGTTATATACAGTTTAGATATTTCTGAATCAGTTGGACGCCATACATAACATATATAACATATATATGAAAGTCTAGGTCTGGCAAGGCTATTTAAAAAGATGATTTGTATGATGATAAACTACATCTGGCAGCAATGGCTCTGGTCAGAACACTGGTGGTTTTGAGGAGCATGGCACCACCTGTTAACTACTATTGTCCTCAGGTCCATCCTGATCCAGGGTGGTAGCATCTGTTAGGGTCCCAGCTATGAGCAAATAGTGAATCTCCAAACAAAAATCAACAGTACAATAAAATGACAACAATACATTTCTATAGCAAAATGACAGTCAATAGAGAACTAAAATAAATATAAAAATATATTTTTATAGTAAAATTAATAACAATACATTTTATGATCTACAAACTATACATCTAAAAAATTCCTTTACTTTGATAGTATAAAATTACATACAAAATATCTGTAATTTAAAGCATTAAATTATGTACAAAATATTTTGATTTCATCATTAAATAACCCATAGGTGTATTGATATGCTGCTAAACAAAATCAACTAATAAGAAGTTGACTCAATTTCTTTGCTTAATGTTTTTGTTTACACCATCTTGCTGACAAATAGACCATAGAATAATCAGTGACAAGTGTTTTGTTAGTTACATCCTGGTATTTTTTTAAACAGTACATTTCAAATTTGAATATGTGATGTCATATGCAGAACATTTTCCCAAAGCTCAACAACATCAAGAGGTGAATATGCAATCAAATATTTTGTATGTTTGCAAAATATTTTATATTCTTTTGTCTATAATA